TCTCCCCTCTAGCCTCATTCATTCAACAAATATTTTGAAAAATCTGATCTACATTCTAATATATTATATGATAGTATAATGCTAAAGAAAGATATTAGGCGGAATGATTTGGCTTCAAGAAACGATATATTAGATTTTTTATTAAAGGGATATATAATTGATCTTCCATGCATGAGAAATTTCACTCCAATAACCCACGACTTCCAAAACTCATAGTAGTCTCCCCTTAATCCAAATGCTCCCTTTTGCCCCGTTATTGCGTATTCATTGGGATAATCGGCTGCATAAAATCCTGGAGACAATCCAAAACATCCCGTTAAAATGCCTAAAACATGGAATAAATCTCCGGTCAACGGCCGGTCATTGGATGCCAGTGCTGGTTAAAATACCGGTTTCCCACTCGTTAAACAGTCAAGTTTTGTTCACTCTCGTCTCACGGTTCATCGTGTCAAGTTCGTTCCTCCGGGAAAACATCATCTCCGGGATTCGCGTAAAAAAGGGCGCATGAAAATGCACTATCCGTCGTTAATTCTCGTCTTGGTCGTTGCTGCCTCGACATATGCCAAGCCAAGTACTTACGATCAACGCCAGACTGGGGATCTGAACGTTCAGATTCATCTCAAAGACCTGAGGGTCGTTGCACTCGTCGATACGGAGATACTCGAGGATTACACGGTAAACTAGATCAGTTTCTTTGGTGATGAGGTGGCGATTAACAAGGGGGAGAGCGAGAGGAGATCTCTGAGGAAATTTACATTGTTATGAAATTCGAAGCTGTTTGATGGGGATTTATCTCGGGAAATAGGGGGTTTGGGGGAAAGTGTCAAAGAAACTTATTGTAGATTGAGAACTTTACTACAAAAAATGTTTTTTCAAATTTTTTTGTAAATCCACTCGTTGTGAATATAATTGTAAATTGGGAAGAGTGAGAAAAATTGAGAATTTTTTTGCTTCTGGTACTTCTGGAAATTGTAGATTTATCGGGGGGAGCGATTGGGTTTAGATGGAAATAGCCTGGGAACTTATTATAGATTGGGAAATTTTCTATAAAAATGTTTCCCGAAGTTGTCTTGTAAATCCACTCATTATGAAGATAATTACGGATTGGAGAAAATATAAAAATTGACGATTTCTTATTAAAGTTTCTGAAATTCTTGATAATTGTTAATTAATCTGAAAAACTACTAGGTTTAAGAGAAAATATCACAAGACTTTTTTTGTAGAGCAGAAAATTTCCCATGAAAAATGTTTTATTGATCAAGAAAGTTTTGTTTAATTTTTCATTGTTCTAGGATTATAATTATTCCTATGATTACTCTGACTTCACAATCAAACCGAAGCCTTCAACCCCTTCGGAATCAACGACAACAGTTACTGCGTGGCATATCTGGCCCACAAATGCCCCAAGTTCAACCCCAAAGCCCAATGGAACTGAAGAATTATCTTCGAACGTAACGACATCATCTGAAATATCTGATGAATTATCTTCAGATTATAATTCTACAATCGCATCGTCTTCAGATGATAATTCTACAGTCGCGTCGTCTTCAGATGATAATTCTACAGTCGCATCATCTTCAGATGATAATTCTACAATCACATCGTCTTCAGATGATAATTCTACAACTGCAACGACTTCAGATGAAAATTCTGCAATTGTATCGTCTTCTCGTGCAGAATCGGCAGCTTCTCTGGGACTGGCAATCACGAAAGGTCCTTCAGATGATGTAGTTCGGGGTCATGAAATGTCACGAGTGAAATTACGCAGTCAAAGTCGCTGTCAGGCGGGCTATCACACCGATGCCAAAGGCCGGTGCAAGAAGGGATCGAGAAGACGACTGTCATTTCTTCCGTAAGACTCTCAAATTAAAATTTGAATTATCTGGGATTGTTTTTCTAATTATGAATTTTTTCATTAGGTTGATGATGAAGATGCTGCCCAAACGTCCAGATCAACGATTTTCATAAATAATGAGGAAAATTGTGATTAATTATTTGTGATTTGTAATGCTCAATAAATAAACTTCAATGATTTTTAATGCTTCTTTTCATCTTCATATTGATTTATATCGATTGCGCTGGATTCTAGTCCAGTCTTCTCCATAATTTCTTCCTTCAGTTTCAAGATTTTTATTCCAAAACTCGGAAGGCACCTGAAAACTTCTGCCCGGGGTCAGAAGAGAAGCCCCGATCGTTCGCCAGTTCTCTATCGAACTCGTCAGCCTTAGAGAGACCCCCAGGAGGCGATGGAAACCCCTCGAGAGCCCACCCTGTCTCCTCCCACAGTTCCGAAGAGGAGGAGGAGGACGACGAGGAGTCGGTTTCGAGCCTGAAACTCGAGATCTGCATCTTCAGACTCTCCAAGACCCTCGCCGAGATCCTGAACGACAAAGATGCTCTCGGGTACTTCCTCCAGTTCATGGAGAGCAGGAACAGACTCGCCGTCATCAAGTGCTGGATGGAAGTCGAGTGTTTTCGAGGGACAGAGGACAATTACGATGGATTCAATTCGAATAATCAGGGGGATAATGTTAATAAAAATGATGTTGAGGCACCAAAGAGTAGGTTTAGAGCCTGGAGGACCATTGACGAGGAGTCTGGAGGCTCTGGGGTCGTCCAGATTGCTCTCAGCGTCTCCAATAAATATATTGTTAAGGATACGTTGAGGATAAATGTGGATTCGGGGTTGAAGAGTCAGATGGAAGAGGCTGTTGGGAGTTCTGATTATCCAGGGCTTATTAAGGGCCTTCTGGAGGTTCAGAAGACCATTTTTCGAGTCCTCAAGGATGAGTGAGTGATCCTCAATGATTATTGGAGGTCTAGNAAGGGATCGAGAAGACGACTGTCATTTCTTCCGTAAGACTCTCAAATTAAAATTTGAATTATCTGGGATTGTTTTTCTAATTATGAATTTTTTCATTAGGTTGATGATGAAGATGCTGCCCAAACGTCCAGATCAACGATTTTCATAAATAATGAGGAAAATTGTGATTAATTATTTGTGATTTGTAATGCTCAATAAATAAACTTCAATGATTTTTAATGCTTCTTTTCATCTTCATATTGATTTATATCGATTGCGCTGGATTCTAGTCCAGTCTTCTCCATAATTTCTTCCTTCAGTTTCAAGATTTTTATTCCAAAACTCGGAAGGCACCTGAAAACTTCTGCCCGGGGTCAGAAGAGAAGCCCCGATCGTTCGCCAGTTCTCTATCGAACTCGTCAGCCTTAGAGAGACCCCCAGGAGGCGATGGAAACCCCTCGAGAGCCCACCCTGTCTCCTCCCACAGTTCCGAAGAGGAGGAGGAGGACGACGAGGAGTCGGTTTCGAGCCTGAAACTCGAGATCTGCATCTTCAGACTCTCCAAGACCCTCGCCGAGATCCTGAACGACAAAGATGCTCTCGGGTACTTCCTCCAGTTCATGGAGAGCAGGAACAGACTCGCCGTCATCAAGTGCTGGATGGAAGTCGAGTGTTTTCGAGGGACAGAGGACAATTACGATGGATTCAATTCGAATAATCAGGGGGATAATGTTAATAAAAATGATGTTGAGGCACCAAAGAGTAGGTTTAGAGCCTGGAGGACCATTGACGAGGAGTCTGGAGGCTCTGGGGTCGTCCAGATTGCTCTCAGCGTCTCCAATAAATATATTGTTAAGGATACGTTGAGGATAAATGTGGATTCGGGGTTGAAGAGTCAGATGGAAGAGGCTGTTGGGAGTTCTGATTATCCAGGGCTTATTAAGGGCCTTCTGGAGGTTCAGAAGACCATTTTTCGAGTCCTCAAGGATGAGTGAGTGATCCTCAATGATTATTGGAGGTCTAGAGGCTTCTAGGATTATTAAAATTGACATATTTTTTATTTTTTCATTAATATGTACCAACCCTCATCAGGTTATTTACAATAAACTGTGTGCATTTTTGTTTCTAAAAAAGCAAAACAAAATTTCGAATTTTTAAAATTGGAAATTTAAAAAATATTAAAATTAGAATTTAGAATCTAGAATTTTTCATTCTAATTTCATTACTTTTGACAAACTGATGGATTATTTCTAAGAGCTCCAAGTTCTTAGATGCCGGGACTGCATTCGGCAAATGGTCTGAGACAGTGAAGTCGAATAAAAAAAAAATTACCATTTACTAGAAGATGTGCTACAATCCAACGAAGGCACAGGCTAATGCTCCAATCATCTGCAAAAAATTTTGAAATATGGGTGCAAGCGAATAAATAAATACGGCAAACCAGTGAAATACTTTATCAAATTCTCTTTATTTTTTGCACGAGGAAGGCACGTACTAGAGGACAGTTGTCCAGAGACTAACTAGTATAACCAAGGAAAAACTTTCACTGGGAAAACGAGAAATAAAATAATAAAGTTTTATACCTCAAGAGGATACAGTCCTCTTCTTCAAATTTCTCTCGAGTGCGGATGGAGGACAACCGATCGTAAATTAGTCCCTTTCTAGAACTGTTTTTCCAGTATGTCATAAATCTTTGTCGAGTAGTTTTTGTACAACAATGAAAGAGCTGTGCTCGAATATTCCAACAAAAATTGGAAATTACAAGTCCTCTCCCATTCACCGTTCCCACAATGAAACCTCAGTCGCAACCTCACTTCAACCTCGGTTTTCTTAAATATCTCCAAATCCCTGACACCCACCACAATTCTTCTCAAGAAATGTTTCGAAGCTCTCACTCCCCCCCCCCTCCCCCTCTCCGCACGAAAAAAGTAACTCACAAAAATTCCCCCACCCGCCAAAAACCAAATCCAGATTTCAGTCCAACTTGCTCAACCTTCAATGAGCCTTACCCCCACCTCCCTCACCCCACCCCAGCAAAAATACCCACGCGAATAAATTCGTTATCAGTATCTCTGACCTGAGCTCCACCAGACCTTGACCATCTCCCCCTCCCCCATAGCAGCCCATGGACCCGCTCGGCGTTCCGGTCGATGCCACGAGATCCCCAATCCTCCTCAGTCGTGTTTAAGCCCTCCGACATGTATCTCCCACTCGTTATCGGGATCCTCGCAGTGGCGAGTGCCTCCCCAGTTAAGTACGACCAGCGTCAGGACGGCAAGCTGAATCTCCACGCTAAACTGGAGAACCTCCTGCTGGTGGTGGCCCCTTCCTCGGGCTCCCCCAGCGGCTCCATCGACTTCGATCTCCCCGGGATCCTTGACCAGGACCTGGACTTCAGGAGGTCCGGCATCCAGGCGAGCAACGCCGAGGAGAGGAGAATCGAGAAGCTGGAGGAGGCGAACGTCGAGGACCGGAAGCTGGAGGTTCTCGGTGAGGAGGCAAAGTTCAAGAGGGATGAGCTCAAACTCATTGGTGACGCCATCGAAAACTGCGGACCTGGGAGGTATCGGGATGGGGTGGGAATCTGTCGTGCTGATGATTCTGCCAAGGGGAAGCCTTGAATACATAACTGTTTTGTAAATCACTAGCGAACTGGCGCTTCGCTAGTGAATAATTTATACTATTTTATTTCATTTTTATTATGCATATATTTTTCCCTTAATTCACAAGTTACAACATTGAATGAAGAGGAATTATGTTAAAGATCAATAAAAAGTGGTTTTTTGTGATCAAAACAAATGCATAAAATAAAAGCCATTCGAAATCTCATTCGGGTAATAGAAAAATCTCTCCAAGTATTCCTGAAGATTTTTGAAATTTATTTTTCCCTTCGGATGGTAAAAGGATATCGGTATTCCTCATTATTATGAAAAGGAAATGGAAAAAGAATCGGAAAGGAGTAATCGGGTAAAAAATTGATTTTTTTTTCTTTTATATTTGCGGCAACTTCGAATCACTTTTTTCTTCAAGTATTAGAGGAATATCAATATTTCAGAGAGAAGAAATTCAAAAAAAGCCAAAAAAGTAGGCGGGAAGAACAATTAATTTCTCTGTCTCCGGAAAGTTTCCAAATTAATATATTTTTTCGAATAATGGAAGAATAGTCATAAATTCGATTTCTATCATTGTCTTTCGATAGAGTAAATAGAATAAATGACAAATATTAACAATTGGAGACTAAAACTTTTATGCAATGATTATTATGTAACAATGCAATGTCATGTAATTATTATGAAAAGGAAATGAAAAAAGAATCGGAAGGGGGTAATCGGCTAAAAAATTGATTTGTTTTTCTTTTATATTTGCGGCTACTTCGAATCACTTTTTTTTCTTCAAGTATTAGAGGGATATAAATATTTTAGAGGGAAGAAATTCAAAAAAGCAAAAAAAGTAGGCAGGAAGAACTAAACAAATTAATTTCTGAATGTCTCCGCAAAGTTTCAAAATTAATATATTTTTTTCGAATAATGGAAGAATAGCCATAAATTCGATTTCTATCCTTGTCTTTTGAAAGAGTAAATGGAATAAATGGCAAATATTAAGAATTGGAGACTAAAACTTTTATGCGATTAGTTATTATGTAATTGTCTCATGTATTCACGATTCTATTAAGTCATCATTTCTTCATTTCCATAATTTTTATACTTGTGTATTTTTTGTTACAACCTTTTTTGTAGAGCCGATTGAAAGCTACAACAAATGTAATTACGAAAATTTTGATATCTCCCTTAGATTCGGAACTATTCCCCAAAAACTCAACTGGGAGATGAGTCGACTTGAACCGTTTTACCACTTGGCTACTGAATTAATTCTATGGCTCGGGTTTTCATTGGACATCTGACGAAGTGTCACATACATTCCCATTTTTTAATCATGTTTTATCTGTGACGTTGCAGCCAAATTAATTCAGCTATTTATTCAAAAATTGCAATTATCTCTGCGGAATAATACAGCTGTAATGGTGTTGTAGACTTAAATCACGTACAAGGTGGATTTTCCACGGAAAGTGCTTGTAGCACGAAATATTTATTAATCAAAATCTGTTTGGCCCAAAATAGCGTTATTTTATGACAAATCTGACATTTATTTTGTCAATTTACTTCAATTAATTCTACGGCTCGAGCTTTCGTTAGAAATCTGACAAAAGCTCGAGCGAGAAATGTTCCCGTAGTTTGGAATGAGAAAAAATATATTGAATGTATGGAACACAATAAAAAGAGAATTTTTGTAAAATATTGTTAAAATTTTTTATGTGAACACGAAAATTTGATTTAAGGTGATCATTCTTAGCAAAATTATGTTTTGAATTTCTATTCAATCGTTTAATTTCTTACTTAACTGATTATTCAATTGCGATTATGCAATTATTGCAATTAAAATTATGTTTCTTTGTCAGTGTGAGGACGAGATGAAAATGAAATGTACATCAATGAAATACAATTTTGTTTGTGAATGAAATTTGAATAAACAATTTTTATTGTTCTATGTACACTGTCACGTTTTTTCAGCATTAAAAACTCCTCATGTGATTGTTCTGAATATGAAAATAGAGTAAGTGAAGATAACGTTTCCTTTTGTTCTTGCTGTTTATTGTTTGAGCTTCCGGAGTTGATACTGAAGAAGCAAAATTAGAGTTCAAGACGGTACTAGCAAGCGCAGGTGAGTTTCACCAAAAATCTTGGAACTGCAAGGGAATAGAAGAATTTTTTGAGTGCCAATTTTGTTATTTCTGTTCGACTCCCACAAACTCATCAAAAACTGAAGGTCAAATTGATAAATTTCATTTTTGGATTTAGTTTTTACTGAATCTCTCGGAATCCAAAGAAAATAGCGAAAATTTTGTCAAGACCCTTTTTGAAGATAAAATCCGGAGCTGAAAAAAAGGTCCTGATTAAATTTTCCGTATCTCCCACAGATTCTGAGATATTTCCCGAAATCCAAACTCGCAAAAGTCCATGAATTTTGTTTTTTCAATGAATTTCCATCAGTTTTTTCCAAATATCTGAGGATCGAGAAAATGTCGAATTTATTCATTTTTGAAGAAATGGCGAAATTCTCCTTAAAATTGAGATAACAAATGCAGAATGGTTCAGCATCAAACATCAAAACATCAAAAACCAAATTGTTTCCAAAATCATCAAATCTTTTTTTTTCGCTGGATGCCATCAATTTTTTCAGCCCGAGATATCATAATTTTCCTGATTCCTCTTTCTCTCCGCAAAAAGTCCTCCCAAGAATCCTTAATCTCCCCCCAATCCGAAACCATTCTCCCAAAACTGAACTCCTCATCTCCTTCCACTCCCCTGAACTCTCCCAGCCCCTCGACAGAACAGGTTCCCACACAGCCACCAAGAGCATTAACAAAACCGCAGAAACCAATCCTGACGTAACAGCTATTGAAACCCGCCCCCTCCCAACAGCCAAGTTCACGGCAGTTCCTTGAACCCTCTCGCCCAAGGAAATGTCCCCGGAGTGGGGAGTTTTACCACAGGGTCACCTGGGGCCATGAACGTTCACTGATCCCCAGTCTGATCCTGTCCCTAGTGGCAGCAGGAACGTGTACCAATGGTCCAAATAAACATGAGAGTTTTCAAGATAATTTCGCTGTTACTCCTCTCAATTCTGAGTGGATTCGACTGTTCTCCAGTGTCATCGCTTCGTCTGGAGCACAGGGGCGGCCCCGAGGAGGACTCGGGCCTGGCCCTGGATAATTACGAGCTTCAGGAGCCATCATCAACGACAAAGCCCGTGGAAATATCTGAAGACACTTACGATCAGCGTCAGAACGGAACCGAGAACTACAGGATTCACGTCGACGGACTGGTTGTTGTGGTGGCGCCTGTGGAGGCTCTTCTCCTTGCCGGAGGCATCCCGGATAATTTTTCGAATATTCTCGCGCCTCCACCGGCCCCGGAGAAGCCCCTGGACAAGCCTCTGGACAAGCCTCAGGAGGATGAGGGGCCCTTGAAACCGGTTGACAAGCCGATCGAGGGGGAAAAACCTTTGGATGTCAAGAAAATTTCGCACAGGTGAGTCTTTTCAAGTGGGCAGGGGTAGAACGGAGGGGATTTTGTTAGTTAAGGGTCTTGAGGGTCGCATGGAAGGGTTGAGCGGAATAATGAGGAGGGTAAAGATTGTTGAGGGTGAAATAGGAGCGATCATTCCACTTGTCACTCCCATTTGACCCTTAAGAACGTTAGTTTAACCTTTCTGGTCATTCCACTCGTTTTCCATTTGACACGCGAGAACATTGAACACTTCTAATTACTTCAGTTACCTCTCGTTTGACTCTTGAGATAATTTTATCGTTCACCTGTCTCCTGATTGATCCTAAATAACATTTGACCTTTCACTTGTCGCTCCCGTTTGACTCTCAAAATCGTTTTATCTTTCTGTTCATTCCCCTCGTCTCTCCCATTTGACCCTTGTGATTACTCCACGCATCCCTCCCGTTTGACCCTGGAATTGCCTCTCTTGTTCGATCCTCAAGGATCACTTAACTTGACCCTTCTGATTTTACTCCACTCGTCTCTCCCGTTTGACCGTCAAAAACGTTTTAAAAGAACATCTGACTCTTGACTTGTCGCTCATCTCTCCCAACTGACTCTTGAGAACCTTTGACCCTTCTGATTACTCTACTCGTCTCTCCCTTTTGACCCCTGAGAACGGTTGTCTCTTCCAATTACTCTACTCGTCTCTCCTAGGTGACCCTTGAAAACGTTTAACCCTTCTGATTACTCCACTCAACTCTCCCATTTGACCCTTCTGATTACTCTACTTGTCTCTCCCTTTTGACCCCTGAGAACGCTTGTCTCTTTTGATTACTCCACTCGTCTCTCCCAGTTGACCCTTGAAAACATTTAACCCTTCTGATTACTTCACTCGTCTCTCCCATTTGACCCTTGAGAACGATTACCTCTTCCAATTACTCTACTCGTCTCTCCCATTTAACCCTTCCGATTACTCCACTCAACTCTCCCATTTGACCCTTGAGAGCGTTTGATTCTTCTGATTACTCACTCGTCTCTCTCATTTGACCCTTCCCCATTTCTTGAGTAATGAAGACGAAAAAAAAAATTCTTTGACATTGTTGGCTTCCGGATGGATGCCGCGTTTGGTTTCAGCATTGCGCTGACGTTTCGCAAACATTGCAGTCTGCATCTTCAGGGCTGTGAGCTCTGATGTCTGAGGGTAGTCCTTTTATGCCTTCCCCTGTGATGGTGGGGGTAGGGGACGGGAGGAGGAGGGTCAGCCAATCATATGTTTTAATTGATCAGCTGATCAATTAAAAAATCGGGAGAACGGTTTTCCAAATAGGGTTCACTTGATATCGTCTGTCCCTGTTGAGGTTGTTAGGGTTTTTGTAGATCTCCAAGCTTTCTCGGTATTTCCTTTTGAAATATCCTTGAGACTTGGCCAACATTCTGGCTTGATCGTAGTGGATCCTATGTCCAGTGTCCATTCAATGTTCAGCAAGTGCAGACTGTTGTAAGTGACCGTATTTGGAACACCGTTGATGTTTCTTGATCCGTGTACTGATCTTCCTCCCAGTTTCACCAATGTACACTTTTCCGCATAAGCAGGGGATCTCGTATACTCCTGGTGTACTGAGAGGCGGTCTGCGATTTTTCGCACTCGGCAGCATCTGTCCAATCTTCTTTGGGGGTTGGCACATTGTTTGGATGTTGTGTTCGCCGAGTACTCTGCTGATGCGTTCAGTGGTGCCTCTCAGGTAGGGGAGGAGGGCCACTTGAGGGTTCTCCCGATTTTCTTCAGGATTAATCTCCTCTTGAGGAGATGAGATCTTGCTCTGTAGCTTTCGCTTGACCTTTTGAATTTGTTGGATGTTATATCCATTCTTAGTCAGAGCCGTCTCTAGAGGTTCAACTTCGCTGTTGACGTTGGAGGGTTGGGNCTTAATCATGGCAACGAAAGCCTTAAAACTAAAAAAAATTCTTTGTATTTTCCTCGACTTTTACACCCCTTAACAATTTTTTTTCCAATTTCAGGGGACATTTGAAGCTTGTCAGCTTCCTGGCACCTCTCCTAAGACACATTGGACAACAATGAAGGGGTTTTAACAATTTCTTTTGTACTCTTTTTTATTAAAATGATATTTATTCATCTGAAATTACAATAAATACAGTTTTTCAATCCCTGCTTTGTTTTTTAATTATGCAATCTCATGGGTAATTCGCTGAGTACAAAAGATACTTATATTACTGTAGAACTATGCAATTTTTACAATTTCTATGATACAATTCATTGGTTACTATAATTCATTGATCCACTGCTCAATAACGTCAAAGCAAAGGAGTTATTAGGAAAATAAATGCAGTCTCACTCGAAATAATGCGGCAGTCTAGGGGACATATCAAGCGGTTTCAGGGGACGATTGTCCAGGGGATGAAGACTAGATTTGATTGAGCCTTTGATTTATGATGCAATTCCTTCAGTTTTCTGGAACACAAGATTTTTGGTTCTGAAAATTATTTAGTTTCTCGAGAATCTAGGGGTGATGCAGGTGAAACGAACATTTTTCAATCGTCAATAACTTGAGATTGACAGCATGAATTTCGACGATTTGTTTTCCATTTTGAAGGTATTTTTTCAGACTTCAAAATGACATTTGATTTATGAAATCGCATCATTCCAATATTTCGGGAAACATTGCTGACTTAAGAAGGTCCTAACTCATTTCCTCCAGTGAAGCAAGTTAATTGTAGATTCAGTTTTTCCTGAAAATTTTAAAATTAATGGGAGATAGCAAAAATTTTGAGAAGACCTTCCTTGTAGAGCGAAATGCGAGCTCCAAAAAAGGTTCTCACAAAAGTTTGGCCATCTCCCCCAGATTTTGAGATATTTAAAAATCAATTTTTCCAAAAAGTGATCCAATCCCTTAACGACTTGAAAAAAAGTCGACCAAATGATGATTTCAAGAGATAATGACAATAGTAATATTAATCCTCATCAACTCACCTCAGTGTCATCCTCTCTGCCAGCAATGGCGAGCCTCCCCTCGAGCTCCCCCTTCTCCTCCCTCAGCTCCTTAATACAAGTATCATTCTCCAACTGTATGATCCTCAAGACCTTCAGCAGCTTGGTAACTAGATTATCCACATCGATTACTTGATCAACAAGGTTAACAGCCGTCCCATAATCCCCCTGGACCCTCTCCCCACTCTCGTCCTCCTCATCCTCCTCGTCTGCCGTCTCCTCCTCCTCATTCTCCTCAACCCTTCTCCTATTCAAGATCGCTTGAGTAAGGCTGTTCAACGACGAGAACTCGTCAGCACTGCGTCCCATTTCAGCATCCCCATAACCATCGAGCCCCCCATCAGGAACGCTGAAGCCCCTTCTCAGAGAGTCACAACTGCTAACCATATTCCTGGAATAGCCGTCATGCAGAGGTACATCCTCAAGAACGCTCTCCATCATGAGACAGGGCTCTGTCTCAAAGTCCAGTAGATCCTCACTCTCATCAGCCCTGAACTCCCTGAAGAGTCCTTTCTCGCAGGTGCCTTTCTCCCCCTTCATCACAAAAGGATGAGTGGCAGCATTCCTGATAGCTCCGATGACAGCTGAAACGAACGAGTGCCTCTTGGGCGAGGGCACGAGGTTCAGCGATCTCGAGCTCACAGGCGACGACTCAGCGCTGCTGTTGGACTTGGAGTAAGCCTCGTTATGATAGACAACATCCTCAAGATCCTTCTCCGATATCTTGTAAGACTTCACCAGCTGATCAACAAGGGCCTCAAGCCTGTTACCAAGTCCTGACAAGGCAACACCCGCGCCGGAAACGGCAGCTCCTTGTGTCAGCAAGAGATCCCTCGACTTGCGTTCAATTGCACTCATCCTCATCTCCAGGGAGAGATTCTCCTGGCGGCGCTGCTCACTCATCCTGACGAGATGCTTGCACTCTTCCATCGCCCTCCTAAGTTCCTCGTCCTTAGAAGACAGAAGTTCGTTCTTCTGAATGAGTTCTGCTTCTAGTTCCTTCATGGCTTCCGCCATCGCTGTCTTCTCGAGATGAAGGAACTCCTGGAGTTCAAGGGTTTCGGCCTCGACCTCCTGCTGGTGCTGCAGAAGATTCTTCTGGGCAGCCAGACTCTTCTCGAGATCTCGATTCAACATTCGGCAGAGGGACTGCAAGTTAGCTATCTCAACTTGTTGATTCGCTACGACTTGCCCCGACTCCTGGAAATGGGACTCCAGCTCCAGGAGGGAGTCGTTACCCTCGGGGTTCTCGGTGGTTCCGAGGATCGCCTGGACCCGCTGAAGGTTTTTCTCGAGCTCCTGACGCGTAAAGTGATGGTCTGAACGCTCGTCCATGAGGTGTCGCTCGGTGGACGAGAGCTTCTGCTCAAGCTTGTCCTTCTCGTTCTTAAGGTCTTCGAATTGGATCTTGAGCGCCTGATAGAAGGAGTCCGGGACCATTTGGATCTCCGTCTGGGTGTCCGAGGTGATCCTGTCGGGAACCTCGGGGCCACAGGATCTCGCGGGGAGACCGTTCAACAGGTGCTCGATATCCGAAGCTGTCAGACCGGTCTGTATGCTTGCTTCATGATAGATTATCGTTTTCTCCGGGGGTTTTGGCTTTAGCAGTGACTTCTTTCGGGTTTTGTCGAGGCGGGATAACGAGGGGTCCCTGCTGAGGGACTTCTTCGGGTCCTCCGTGGGCGGCAGACTGAATTTCGAGGTCCTTCTCCTCGGGAGAGTCCCAAAGGTTTCTATCGTCTTCGTCTCTAGCTTGTGAAGTTCGGATTTGGCGCGCGTTTTGTCGACAGTTATCGATCTCGTCAGGGGTTTTGACGATCTGGGAGTGGACAACGGACGTTTGAAGTCCTCCGAGGGGGTGGATATCGGGGTCGTGCGGCATTTCGAGAGGCTTGATGCTGTCGCGCGTGTTATGCTTCTTTGCGACAGGTCTTTTTCGAGTTCCTTGGCGAGAGGTGAGGAAATCGAGAGGGTGAGGGAGTCGGTTGACGGTCGGGATCGGGTTCTGGAGCGAGCGGGGGTGCCTGCAGACCAGAGTTTGATGGTCTGCTTGGGCGGCGGAGGCTTCAGAACCGGCGCTCGAGATTTCGGCCTTGGGGGCTCGGTTTGGGGAACCGGACGCGTTCTGGAGGACTTCTGAGGGGGATTCGGGGGCTTCTTTTTGGTGGTGGTGGTCGAGGTGCAGGGTGGACGTTTTGAGGTACGAGGGGTAGGGCGCGAACCTGTGGAACCGGTCACGGAGGAACTCTCACTTCCACCCTCGGAGGTGTGCTCGCGTGAGTGGGAGATCGGGGGGGTGCGCGGGAGGAGCTCGTCGGGGAGGGTACCGCAAGGGTCCTCGTATACTGAACTACAAGATACTAGACTTGAGTCGCATGACACCTCGTCGAGGTTGTTTATGCTACTGGAGTAGCCATTCACCTGGAATTATCAGGGGGGGTGTGAGAATTTGGGTTTTTTGGGGGGTGATGGGGTGAATTTTTTTGAGGGCTTGTGGGGCAAATGGAATGGTAGTTAATTTTGTTGTTCAAGGGTCAAAGAGTTCGACCTTCGTTTGACATTAATCGTTAAGGGTCATTCGACCTTCATGAGCATTTAAACCTTTAAGGGTCAAGTGATTTTGAGGGTCACTTGAGCCTTGAGACAATTTGACCCTCAACCCCAAACGTCCGTAAGGGTCGTTCAACCTTTACGACCATTTGACCCTTTACGGGCCAAACAGTCTCATTTGAGCCTCACAGCCACTTCACCCTTCACAGCCCACTTTGATAATTATTCAATTATTTCCCTCGTATAGAGGTCCGGAAAGTCGATGGATAGCATATAGTATCCCACTTTCCATGTAATTTATGCCTTAAAAACATCTAAGGTTGACCGAGTAGAATAGCCCAAGGGATAATATAGATGTCATTTGAGCCTCTTGCCCCTTGAGACAATTCGGCCCTCAAGGGTCAGCTTCGAGCGTCATCAAGGGTCGTTTGACCCTCAACAGGAAAATAAAACAGGCGGAGGAGTTTTGAGGGTCTTTTATATCTCAGAGAAATAATAAATCACTTCTCTCCATCTATCTGTTAGACCCTTGAGAACATTTGGCCCTTCACATTTTTTTGAGCAACAAAGATGGAAAAAAAAGTTGTACCAATTTTTCTCTACATTCTTTTTTTGCTACCGTTCCACTTTGCCCCACTATCTTTCTTAGACGTCCAAGTCAGAGTTGAAGGTATTAATAAAAAAATGTATCCATTACCCTAGGTATTTCCGTAGTGCAGCCCTCGACTCCCGAATCACTCCCATCCTTATTATCTTTGTCCTTGCCCTCAGTTAATGCATCCGTCACGTGAATGACTGTGATGTTGCAGTCGCTGTTCATGGTCCCGTTGGGATCCTCATCGTCGTTCTCCGGTGACGTCTTGTTGGAGGGGGACGATAGGTCCTCCGGTACACCAGAGTCCTGACGTGTGACATACTGAGGCGATGCTGGCAGACACAGCTCTGGAATCTTCAGATCCACCTCGATCACTTCGCCGTTCATCTTCACGTTCTTCTCTTCATTCTGAAATTTAATTAATTTTCATAAAATTTGTTCATTGATTTTTTCATTTAAATTGCATTTTACAAATGTATTATTTTTATTTTACAAAAAAAATATTCGTTCTTCAAACATTTGAAAACGAACATTCAGTACAATCCAGGAAATTTTTTTTCTTTCACTTTCAAGCAGGGATTCCCATGAATATTAAAGTTCTGTAATATTATAAGGATTTGACCCTTACATTATTGAAGGTTTGAAATATGTTGATTCACTTTTTCAAATAATATAATATTTTTAATCTGATTTTTTACAAATAATAATAATATATTTAAAATTTGTTAATATGAAACTGTAAATTTACTACTAAGTGAATAATTCAAATTTCTTGAAAGGGTATTTTCGATTACACAAGTAATCGTCAATCTTCCTACCTCAAATTATTGATTGATAAAATAATTAAAATTTGAATATTTGAATTGATTATACTTAAGTACTCAAAAAATTTCAAGAATGACGTTATCTAATTAAGGGCTGCAAAAGTAACCGTAATGAAATATTACAAATTTGGCTATCCCTGCATCAAGTGAGGGTCAAATAATTTCGGGGGTCAAACAAGCCTTACGAATGTTTACGGTTGAGGGTCAAACGACCCTTAAAATCATTTGACCCTCCTCTCTCCAATGAAATAATTTATTTATTTTTTATTTATTTGTATAACATGTAACAATCGCGGCTAATTACATGACTTGAATTGGGAACAGGAAATATCGTTGAGGGCGCTTTTTTTTGCCAATATGGCCGTCAAAGAGGTATACACACACGCGCTCAGACAAGCCCCCATTTGCTTGTGTATCGTAGATGTGCACCCTTAACGCAGGCATTCATAGAGGGCGTCTTGTTATTAAGCGTCCCCAATAGTAGATGAATAAACTTAAATGTAATACAGATAGTTTATCCACAGGTGGCGACGGTGGCCGAAGCGGTTAAATCGCTCGACCGGACGGCGGGACCCGTGAGGCGCGGGTTCGAGTCCGGCGTGGGGCAATTGTGATTTTTAATCTTTCGGAAACCGTCGAATGGAAGTTTAGACACAGAGAATCATCGGAGAAGTGTTAGGAAAACATTCTCCGATGAGGCTCGGTCGATGGACGCCCGTGTCGACCAAGGTTTTCCATGGTTTCCCTTGGTCACCCGGAGAGTCTGTACGTGGGGTACAGCTCCTGGGGTACAATGCGACACAGTTGGAGAGGAAGTCGGCCCATGAAACCGCAAAACATGTTAAAATCCGAATAGGGTATATATGGCAAGAAATAAAATTTTTAAAAATAGTTTATCCACAGGTAGATGGTAACGCGAGGTGTAAATTGCAGATTATGGCATAAGGTAGCGTCTCGCTACATCCTAACACGCGTACTCAGGTTGAGGACTATCGCATGTACTTGCTATCTCACTCGCACCTTCGGTGCCACGCGTATCATTTTCCTATTCACCAATCGTGAGGACACTCAGGAGTCTCGTCAACACCTCTCGGTGCGATATAATATATTCAGTACAATTCCCATCGGACACTCGATCGGATCACATTACTTATTCTTCATTTTTCTATTATATATTAACGTAGCAATGAATTCAGTAGTGCAGTGGTAAACCGGTTTTTTAAAATTTATTGTATTAACCTGCAGTGGGTTACTTACATTCACTCAAGATGTACGAAAGTCATAAAGGAAAATAGTAGTTGCTGCTGTAACATATTTGGTCCAACTTTATTTTAGGTCTTTCGCTGTGGACACCAATACTTCGTTACCTTAAATTCTGATTTTACATTTTTTAATGAACTGGTGTATAATCTTGAGAGGTTCGAGATCTTTTGCCACCAGGAGTGCGGATATGGTGTACAGTCTAGGACACTTGTGTTTAATAAGTTTATCAATCATTAACTCTCTTTCTTGAGTAGAATACTCTGGACATTTCCAAATAACGGTAAACCGCGTTAAGTCGATTTGACTTTTCGCCAGTTTTTTTTATGAATATCTCGGAATCTATGAGAGGTGGCAAAAATTTTCTCACGATCTTTTTTATAGCCCTCAATTGGCTATATAAAAAAGGTCGTGAGACAAATTGTTCTATCTCTTTCAGATTCCGAGATATTCGTCAAAGACTGGCCGATCGTCAACATCGATTTGACCAAGTTTACCACTTCGCTACAGAATTATCATTATTAATTCATTATTAATTATCAATTACACCGTAGTGGATTGTTATCTTCCCGTCAACACCTCGATCCCTACAATAATACATAAGAGGTCGAAAGTGGCGTTGTGAGCGGAAAGTCTTAAATCTCAATTATTTACAAGCCAAAAGAACCAGTAATGAATAATAACGGTTTCTTAAGCACTTTTGATAGAGTAAACGAATCATTGAATATGTCCATGTCAGGGTACCTGTTTCATAACGAAAAGTTTTATTTCAGAAATTTCTCTATGTCGAATGTTTCATTTATTATAAAATTTAATCCGGGTTTTTACCAAACTATTCAAACGGCTAGCAATTCAATACTCCAGGGCCAATTCCTCAATTCTTGGAATTACTCAGGGCCAATTCCCCAACTATTAAGTTTGCCAGCTGCATTTGATCTTTTTAAAAACATAATTTATTTCTCTTGGAACAAAAACTTGAAGTAAACCGCTGACCGTAATAAAATACATTTTCAAACCGTGAAAATTCTCTTTCCTTACAAAATCGCTCTGACCGTTATAAAATATTGTATATAAAGGAATCTTTAGACATTTTACAATTTAATACGTTTCGTCGCGACCCACGTGTTTTCCCTCGGATTTGAGACAAAAGTTTTCAAAGGAAAGCAAAAATTTCAAGCATTTATGACTTAATCTCTTCCAGACGAACACTGTATCCCATTACTCTACGCAACTTTCTACCTCAGACAAGCGCCACCCCTGAATTAGCAAACTGAGTTACGCCACGCCCTCCCTCCTTATTCTCATTGTTGTGGTTAAAAAAATTCTGACCGCCTAATCACATCATTCATAATTTCTCCTCCATCAATCCGAAGATCGTACTCCCTTCCACATTAAATTTTGATACCTTGACAGACACCCCCAGTTTTTGCCTTGACAAGAGAGAAATTTTTATTCCTGCCACACTTCAACCTCGAGTTGCAAGAGAATCACATCATTTTATGGAATATTGTGCGCGTATAGAGACATTCGACATAAATTAACCTTGTCAGTAGTATTATTTAACAAAGTTTAAAATTGAAAATCAACTGTTCGTGAGTGTAATCTATATAAATTATTAAAAGCAAACAGAACTGTAAGAATTAACAATAAACTGTAAAAATAAAATTTATATAAAAGTCGTCAAAACATTCGAATGAATTTAATTATTAACTCGAAGATATCGATTATTTTAGAATAGTCGAAACAGTATCCCAGGGTAAATCGTAACAAATTATTGAAGAGAATGTCACGAATATAAAACATGCTCGAAGTATTTTCTCAGTGTTTTCCTCTATCCGCTGCCAGAGAGAACTTAATTCTCTTCAGACGAAAATATCCTTCAGACACTGAAGGACAAGATAATGGAAGAATTTAAAAGTTTTGTTTCGAATTTACGGAGGAGGTAGAATGAAGTTCATTAAACGTCTATTTAACCCCGGAAATTAATCCCGAATGACCGGCTGTTGAAGTTAATCGAGTAATCTCTCGATAACCAATTTTCTTCGCACACAAACAACGTGATACGATTGAGGGACTCCCCATTGGATTATCAGACTACTCACACATTATCTCCCGGAGCGTTGTTTGCAACCATAATATTTTTTCGAATATGCTTCCAACGATTTACTCAATTCAATGCCTACATCACTGAACGTCGACAAACACGCTGAGAATACAATTACAAAAATATTAAATTGATAATAAACTTTTTTCTTGTCTTATCAACAATTCAGCGATAGAAAAAAGTGGGACTCTGTTAAAATGAGAATATCTTGATAACGAATGGTTTCAGGGGGAAATATCACTGGACCTTTTTTGTAGCTGACAAAATTCTCCGCAAAAAATGTTCCTACATATTTCCTCCTCAACCCACTCATTACGGAGATATTTTGGGGACAAACTCGACGTGAAATTCAACTTGTCGCGATCTGAACCAATTAATCCATCAAAGTAGTTTAAAAATCCAAAAATCACATTAATAATTCCTAAAAGCCGTCATTACCGATGACCTACATCTCCAGGAGCTCCAGAGGACTCCCCGAAGTGACACGTAACGTGCAATTAATTATTGAGTCACGGTAGTGAACCTTGGTCGAGCGATAAAAAAACTTCCCATTAATAACGCATCTTCCAACGTACAAAACCGGGGGAATCACCGACGACAGCTGACATCAGGGTCATTAATCGAACGTAGTGGGGCACTTACATATATTAGCTCACCGCCTTCTCTTCACGCAATCATTACCCACCGCAACTCCGGAAGCGCGTGGTTAGAGTTTATAAAGACGAAAACGATTGGTGAAAGAGCAAAAAATGACGGGTGAATACAACGAGGCGAGTTAGCTCAATTTATTGGGAAGAAAAAAAAATCTTGGTTTCGTTGTAGTGGAAGTGTCGGTGCTAATTGAACATGGATTAATCGCTATTTGGAGGATTAATTAAAATTCCGAGGTAATTGGCGGATTTGTGTGAGATATAATGGGGCAAAGCGGAATGCTAGCAGAAGGGAATGCAGGGGGAAATCGAGAAAACTTTTTTCTATGTCTATTATTCTAAAAAATTATGAAAGGTCAATTGTTCTTTAGAGTTAAAATAGATCAGAAGAGTTAAACGGCCTTGAGGGTCTGTTGGGAGAGACGAGTGAAGTGATCACTCCCGTTTGCCCCTTTGCCCCCTTCGCCTGTCACTCCCATTTGACCCGTGAAGAAGTTTGACCATTCTGATCACTTCGTTTGTCTCTCTCGTTTGACCCAGCGAAATTCGCTACCGTTCCACGGGAGAGTCAAGCAAAGTGATCGTTCTGCTCGTCTCTGTCGTTTGATCCTTAAGTCATTTGACCCTAGATTTGAAGGTCAAATGGGAGAAGCAGGGGGATGGATCAAACGGGAGGGCGATCACTCCTGTCTCTCCCGTTTGACCTTCAAAATCATTTGACCCTAAAGAACGTTTGATGTTTTGTCGTGTGACCCTTCGACTTAAGGGTCAAATGGAAGAGCTCTCCCGTTTGACCTTCAAGATTGTTTGACTCTTCGACATGACGGTCAAATGCGAGACAGGTGAAAGGGTCGAGAGGGTCAAACGGAAGAAAAAATCGAAGTGATCATTCTGTTCGTCTCTGTCGTCTGAGCCTCAGGAACATTTGACCTTCATTTAGGGCAAATGGGAGAGACAGGAGTGATCGCGTTTGACCCTCGAGGATGTTTAGACCTTTGAATAAAGAAATTCGCAAGCCTTTTCTTTTCCCACAGTCCAATAACCCCTCAAACTTTCTCTAATTTCAGATTTTGAAAATGCACAAGCCCTCGAACGACAACTCCACAATGCGTGGAGACAACCTGAGACTCTTCCTCCCATCGAACACCCAGACCCTTCAGGTCGTCGGGGACGGTTGTCGTCTGAGGGTCCACGAGAACACGGGGAAGATCCGGATGATCGGGGACGGCAGTCGCCTGGAGATAACCGGGAAGAACGGCGGGGAAATCGAGTACCGAGGGGATGGTGGGAGGATTATCTTCGGCCCGGGAGTCTCCCCGAGGAATATTCTGTACGTGGGGGACGGGGGGAGAATCGGGAGGCAACCCGAGAGGGTTCCAAAAACGGAAATTATCGAGAAATCCTCGGGAATCGGCACCTGCAAGACGTCGAGGATCAAAACTACTGTTTATAAGCCTGACTGAGGAGTAGGGGGGCATGAGGCAAAGTGGAACGGTGATGAAAGACGGATGTATTATTAAAAAAATGTTCAATGGTTTTTCAGGGGCAAAAGGCGTTGAGGGTCAAACGGGAGAGCAGGAGTGATAACCTTTCACTGGGCTCTAATGGGAGGGTCAGGCGGATGGGTCAAGGGTCAAACTGGAGGGCTATCACTGCTGCTCTGCCGTTTGACTCGTGACACATTCGCCTGTCCTCTCCATTTGACCCTCAAATCGAAGGACAAATGCTCTGAAGGGTCAACTGGCAGAGGTGAACAGAGCGATCACTTCAATTTTCTCTCCCGTTCGACCCCCGTGACCCTTCCGAAGTCGAAGGGTCAAGCAATCTTAAAGGTCAAATGGGAGAGCAGGAGTGATAGTCGCCCCGTGGGCTTTACGGGGAGAGACAGACGGATGGGTCAAGGGTCAAACGGGAGAGCGATCACTCCTGCTCTATCGTTTGACCCCTGACCCAATCGCCTGTCTCTCCTATTTGACCTTCAAATCGAAGGTCAAATGTTCCTAAAGGTCAAACGATGGAGATGAACAGAACGATCACATCGCTTTACTCTCCCGTTTAACCCTCTTGACCCTTTCCCCTGTCTCCCATTTGACCCTTGTTGACCCTCATGTAGCGGTAAAATTACCCTCCCTCCCCTTTTACTTTGCCTCACTCTTCCCCTATTTCTCCTTTTTCTAGTCAATTTCAAAACTTTTCTCGTCAGTATCAGTATTATTACAAACAATGTAATACAATGTTTATTACACGAGCCTGGGGGTCTTCCCACCATAAAATGCCTCCGGATGGCCTGCAAACGTGTGCTGCACTGACGTGTGTTGTACTGAGGGTAAATATAAACTCTGGGACGCGAAGAATGCATTCTGGGGAGGACGTTTAACTGTGAGGGGGAGGGCGAGGGGAATGGGACACAGATGGACAGGAAATTACGGATGGGGGGCTGCGAATTCCGAGAGGCACTCCAGGAATCGCGGAAGTGGGAGGGCTTTTTCGGAGGTGAGGTATCTGGGAGAGGCTGTGGGAATGGAGTGATGATTGGGGGGGGGGAGGGGTTGATACTGTTCTTGTGAAATAAATTATTTTTGTATGAAATTTTTGGGAAGAGGAATTTTATTTTAAGTTTAAGCACCAGAACGAAGAGTGAGAGGCGAGGAGTGATTTTTCTCGGAGGAGAGCATCTCGAGATTGACTGAGGGAATTTCGACGAAATTGGGCTCATTTTCTTGGTTTTTTCGTGAAGTTCAAAATGAGAGGTGATTTTTTGGATTTGGTTCGTTTGGTTGGAAGATATTTGAGGTTGAAGAAGACTCTTTTTGCAACGTTCTGGGCTTGAGAAGAATTATTGCTTTTTTTATAATTGCGTTTTTATATCGGAAGCGAGGGGTTTTAGGAGGGAAATTGATAAGACTTTTTTTTCTAGTTGAGGAAATTATGTACAATAAATGGGTCCCGTTTTCTTCTGGAATGTCTCGTTACCGAGATAAGGAAACGATAAGGAATTGTGATAATTCTTTTTCAGAAAATTCAAATTTTTGTGAAATTCAAGTTTTCTTTGAATGCAGTTATCTCGATCACGATCAATCCTCGGAGAAAATGTCATAGAACATTTTTGTAGATGAGGAAATTCTCTACAAAAATTATTCATTGCATTTTCGTCTCAAACTATTTATTAATAAGATAATCAAACAATTAGAAGATGCAAAAATTCTGCGTCTCAATGAAATCCAAATTTTTGTGAACTTCAAGTTTCCTTTGAATGCAATTATCTCGATAAAAGTCGTTCCTGGGAAAAAATGTCCCAGAACATTTTTTGTAGCTGATAAAATTCTCTATAAAAAGTATTTGTCACATTTTCTTCTAAAACCACTCCTCACCTCGATAACTTCGACTCAACGAAAAACCCGAAAAACTCATCGTTTCCTCTTCCACTTCTTCTCGAATCGCCTCGATTACACCTCTCCCTCCTTCATCGCTCTCCCTCCCCCAATAATCATCTAAATACTCCCCACATCATAACTTTGATAACAAAAACTAATAACTAGAAAGTGAAAAAAACGAAAGTAAAACGCCATAAAAACCAATTCCCCTCAGAATTTTCCATTTCGACGCACTTCCTCATCGAACTAATCACCTGAATCATCAACATAATCACAGCGGTGATTAATCACGACTTGATAACCCCCTCCACCCAAGGAAAACAACAATTCCCTCGAAAAATCTTCGTTAGGAGAGACGAGGCTAAAATAACCCGTCTTCAATCACCAATAACTAAAGATCGGCTCAGTGAAATTTTAACACTTTTTTCTTCACTTTGAAGCCTGAAAACATATCTTCAAAATGAGCTCCGAGTCATCCCGATCGCATCATTAGATCAGGAAATATCGATGACTAAAAAGTTTTATTTTACTGTCTCATCTTCTCCTAAAAAAAAAAAACGTTTTTTCCACCGGCTTTTCTCGCAAAAATCTCTCTCCTTCCCAACAACTCCTCTCCCCCTCAATTCTTTCTGACAACCGCTCGACAAACCCCTCCAAAAAACCAAAAATTATCGAAAATAATTGAAAAAATCCCCTCAAAACTCCACAAATCATCGAACCAAGACCAAAATGACCCGTCTTCAACCACCAATATCTCAACGTCGGCTGAGTGAAATTCCCCAACTCTTTTTTCATTTTGAAGACACTTTTTCAGGCTTCAAATCGAGTTCCAAGTGATTCCGATCGCATCATTAGTTCACGAGAAATCGACGACTAAAAAATTTTATTGTATTGTCTCATTTTCCCCTAAAAAAAATGAAAAAAATTTTTTTTCCACCGGCTTTTCTCGCAAAAACCTCTCTCCTTCCCAACTTCCCTCTGACAACCCCTCAAAAAGTCCCTCCAAAAATCCAAAAATCAATTGAAAAATTCCCGGAAAAATCCGCAAATCGCCGAACCCCAGAGTAAACTCCATTCGACACGCGAAAATACCACTGCATTCTCCGAAATGATGATCAATAAATAGTCCCCGGGCGGTGCACTACGATGACAACTGTCCTCGGCCACCGGAATAAACTCATGGAGCCCTCAATGAACAATTGGAATGGTTAATTACCTCACTGGAGTCGTTTTGGTCCTCGCAAAGTCCCTCGGAAGACATCGGAGATCCCTGGGGACCCTCTCGCCACCTCGATTCACATAGAACCGAGTACATTCGCTAATTTTCTGGTTCAATCCACTGTTTTCTCACTCGTAATTATGCTTCTCGTTTATTCACACGGAAATTGAGGCGTTTTTGGAGCGCTTGAGGCGGGGAAATTGATAAAAATCGAGCGAAATTGGAACTTCGGAGTGGACTGCTTCCTGGACGCCTGTTTCAACCAGTTTCAACGTTTCTGCCAGGTTCGGGAGTCTGTTGTGTAGAGGGAGTCCCCACCACCCTCGCCCCCCCGGAGCGGCGCCCTTCCGAATATGGCGGAAGCGGCTGGAAACGGGAGCAAGATGGTTTTAGGGAATTATTGGGGATTGGAGGGGTTTTGGGAGATTATCTCGGCAAGGACGGGTTTTACGGGAAAATGTTGTGAATAGTTTTTCTAGAGAATTTTGTAAGCTGCAAAAATGATTTTGGGAGATTTTCTTCTAGAGATGATGGTTATGGAGATAATTGCATCGAAAGTAAAGTTGATTTTTTCATAAAATTTTACTCGAGTGGGAAAACAACAGTTCCACATTTTTTAATTGTTCAATTATCTCGGGAGAGAGGGATTTCGGAAAAAAATGCTATGAATACTTTTTGTAGGGAATATTGTAAGCTTCAAAAAAAAACTTTAAGCATTTTCTCTTAGAATTAATCATTATTGAAATAATTGCATTCAAGGTAAACTTGAATTATGCTTCGAGTTTTGATCGAGTGGAAAATAGAATTTCCGCATGTCTGATTGGTGAATTATCTCGAAAATGAGAAGTTTTGGGAGAAAGCGTTATAAATACTTTTTGTGGAGAATTTTACAAGCTACAAGAAAGATTTTGAGATATTTTCTTCTAGAAGTAATCATTATAGAGATAATTGCATCAAAAAAAAAATTGAATTTAATGAAAAAAAGTTGTGATCGGCTGGGAAAACAAAATTTCCATATCTTCAAATTGTTAAATTATCTCCTGAGTGAGAGGTTTCATGGAAAAATATTATAGATACTTTTTGTAGAAAATTTTATGAGCAACAAAAAGGATTTTACAACATTTTTTCCTAGGATTAATCATTATGGAGATAATTGCATTCAAAGTAGACAACAAATTTCATAAAAATGTATACTTCGTTACATTTACACTCCTAATCGCCTCGCTATCTCGATAATGACAAATCCTACAACAAAATATGACAAGACATTTTTGGTAGAAAATTTCCTCAGCTGCAAAAAAGGTCATATGCATTTTCTTTCCAAAATCACTCGTTGTCAAAATAAATTCCTTAATTTACAAAAAAAGTGAAATTCATTTTATAACGTGACACTCCTTCATCCCCCAATTTTCCCTAGGATCAAAGGTGGAACGTGCACACATGAGGGGAACCCCTTCAATCCATAATTATTCTCATCCACGAGAAATATTTTTCTACTAATTATCGAGTAATTATCGTCCTTTCACTCTATGCATGATTTAACGTGGGACTCGAACGAACATTTAATTGGTAAAAGTTGATTAGGTAATCCTCGCAATTACTCCGCGATGAGTCTCGTCGATGTGTGGACATGCTGCCCTCACGTTTCCACAAATACAAGAATTTACGAGACAATTTGAACATTCATCAAATAGAAATTGAGATAATTGATCTGAAAGTGAGGGGAGAGAAAGTTTTCCAAGTTTTGGGAGATGGAATTACAATTGAGTGACGAATTATAGAATTGCACATTATTAAAAATATATTTTTCATTTTTCATTATGTGAAGTCTCATTTCTGATGTCAACGTCATCAGTGATTCCATCATTTTCTTTCTCTTTTGATAATTTTTTAATACTCCTGAGACATCTGGTAATGTTTTGCTGATGGTTCTACAAAAAAAAGCTCTTGAGACATTTTCTCCTAAGATTAATCATTATTCAGATAATTGCATTCAAAGCAGACTTGAATTTCATTTTAAAACATATTTCGTAGAAAACCACGATTTTTTCATCTCTTAATCACTTCATTAACTCCATAATGAGAAATTCTACAAGCAAATGTGACATTTTTTGTAGAGAATTTCCTAAGCTCCATAAAAAGCTTTTGAGACATTTTGTTCTAAAATTAATCATTATTCAGATAATTGCATTTAAAGTAGACTTGGATTCCAAAAAAAAAAATTATTTCGTGGGAAACCACGATTTTTTAATTTTCTAATCGCTTCATTAACTCTATAATGAGAAATTCTACGAAAAAATATTACACGACATTTTTTGTAGGGAATTTCCTCAGCTATAAAAAAGGTTGTAAGACATAATCTCCTAGAATTAATTATTACTGAGAATTTTTGAGAGATACAATTATAATGGAGTGAGGAATTATAAAATTGAGTTGTTTTTTAAATTTATTCATCATTTTTCACTATCTGAAGTCTTTCATTTCCGCTGTCAACGTCATCAGTGATTCCATCATTTTCTTCCTCTCTTGATCATTTTTCAATGTTCCCCAGACAGCTTGCAATGTTTTCTGCTGATGTTTCTACGAAAGAAAAATAATTGAAAATTATTTCCCTGAAATGATTTTTGAAGAATATAATTTCGAAAATTCTCAATTCAACGTCAACTTCATACGCTTGACCACTTTCTTTTCTAAATTTATCACCCAACAAATTGATTTCAAATGGGTATCTGTGAAGATCCACTCACTTTGATGAACAAAAAACAATTCTTCATGGTTGCTCCCACATAGAGTATCTTCATCTCCACGAATCTTCCACCGACATCGTTAATCGTGGGAATTGCATCGATTAAAAAATTGTGGGGCCCATGTCGACACTTGATGAGAGCAATTCTCGTGTGTGGATTGCAATATTGTGCTGAAAAAGGAATTAATAAAAACATGAGTTAGAAACATGGCCGATTACAGAGGAAAATTGGAAATTCAGCATGAATGCATTTTTGAGAATAATTTTTTCATTTTCTGAAATTTTATTTTGTAAAAAAATGTTAGACTATTCGAAAATGGATGTTGAAAGCTTCTCTGATTATTAATTACGTGAAATGATGCCCCTTTCACAGCTGCAATAAGTCTTCAATCTGAGAATTTGTTTTGTGAATTACGAATAATTATTTTTAGTCTCTAAATTATTAGAAAAATATTAAAAACCCATTGCATTATTGATTAAATGGGATTATGTACCTCTTAAATACAAAATGAGACTTAAATTAATAAATTTGTTCCTAAATTATGGATTCTAGATTCTATAGAGTCTCTGAGACACACCAATAATGCTAAATATCCATTGGATTGTTGATTAATCACTATTTTTTCCTTTTAGAAAGGAAATAAGTCTTTGAACAATTAACTCGTTTCTAAATTACGAATATTCGGGTCCAAAAAGCCTCTAAATAATTAAAAAAACATTAAATATCCACTGTATTGTTGATTAATTAGGATTTCTCTCCTTTAAATGATGAAACAAGTCTAAATCATGAATATTAAATTGCAAAAGTCTAGTGTTTATCCCTTTCATCCTGTAAAATCACTTCAATATTTTTCCTTCAGCATATTCAACATGATTTTTTCCTATTTACCGTTAAAAATATTAAAAACCCATCGGATTGTCAATTAAATAGAATTATATTCCTTTCAAACACAAAATGAGACTTCAATTAATAAATTTGTTTCTAAATTACGAATATTCAAGTGTAAAAAGCCTCTAAACAATTCCGAAATTATTAATCATCAACTCGATTATTGATTAATTAGGATTTCTCTCTTTTAAATGATGAAACAAGTCTAAATCATAAATATTAAAATGCAAAAGTCTAGTGTTTATCCCCTCCATCCTGTAAAATCACTTCGACATTTTTCTTTCAACATAATCAACTTGATTTTCTACTTTTTACCGTTCAATCCGGCCTTGATCGCGGCCAGCCCAAAGTCTCCATACATCTTCTCCACACTTTTCTGAACAGCATGGTACAGTGCAGAAGGCTTTAACACCAGCAGTCTATCTTCACTGTCTTTCAAGGTAATCTCAACTGTAATGTACCTGAAAAATTAACGATAATTAGCCATTAGCATAAAATAATCAAATGATCGTCTCTCAAATTTCATTTAATGTAGTACCTGTTCTTGAATCGAACCATTTTGAGGTTAAAACCCCTCGAGGTCCGCAGTTTCACCTCATTTTTACCGGAAAAAAACTCCAATAACTAGTCTTTGAAATTAATTTTATTGTCCAGAAATTAATTATCGGTAATTTATGATTGGATGATGCGAGTGTTGAGTGACGTCAGTGGTTGTGAGTGGGATGTGATGACAAGAGAGCAAGAGTCACGTGAATTGCGGAGGGTCGAGTGGTAAACAATAAATACCCACATGCGAGTGGTTCGTAGATTCATTTTTCTTCGAAGCATTCGAGCTTTTGGAGGCCAATTTTCTCGGTTCTCATTAGAGGGATTGAAAAATACCTCGGATACAAAATGTTCGACTTTTCGAGGTGGATAAATAATGTTTTATGAGTTTTTCGACTGCTTTGAGTATTTAAGGGGATTTTTGAAGTTATTTCAAGGAATCATTTCGCCAACCCCCATAACCCTTATTCTGATCCTTGTTACCCCTAATCTGCCCCTTGTCACCCTCTTAATCTGACTCTCGTGACCTTTATTCTAACCTTCATTATAACCCTCGTAACCCTTATTTTGTCATTGTGACCCTTCATTTCTGGCCCTTGATTCTGGAGTCTTAATTTCGAGTATCAAAGTTTCATCATCAAAAGTTGATTTGAATTTTGATAATATAGAGACCCCATATGACCCCCATGAACCTTATTTTAACCCTTATTTTGACACCCATGATCGCTATTTTGATCCTTATTTCGCCCTCGCCCATGACCCTTATTTTTTAAAAAAAATTTCTTCTCGTATACCCTTTCAGGTCTTTACGATTTGTTCCCTTCCCACCCCCCAACCCCCTGTACCGCATTTTCCGAAGGACAAGGGAAACCTCATTTGAGGGAAAAACCTCTGACCCTTATTTTGACCCTCATGGCCCTCATCTAAACTCTTATTCTGACCCTCATTATAACTCCGTGACCCTTATTTTGCCCTTGTGACCCTTCATTTCTGGCCCTTAATTCAGAAGTCTTAATTTCGAGTACCTAAGTTTCATCACCAGAAGTCGATTTAGGGGAGAGTGGGGTAAAACGGCCCCTTTTGATTTTTTTAAAAATGGTAACAGCCCATTCAATTTTAAATAAAATGGAATAATTTTTTTTGCCATGGAAACTACACTTCTTCCCCTTTAGAATGAGCCTAGATTGATCTCAATTAATGAATTTGTTTCTGAGTTATGAGTATCACAAAAAAAGTCAAAAGTCTTTAGATCTAGCCAAGGTAGGCCGGCAAGTAAAATACCACCGGTATTTTATCAAGTTTTCTACGTATAATATAACAAGGAATTTGCCAAGGAGATTTTAGACCGTTTTGATTCCGTGTGGAGTTAGTTCTTTCTTCAAGGTTTTCACGTTAAATTTTTTTATTGTCAAAGATACACAATCCAATATTTGCCACGTGTCTCACGAATCACAAATAAAACTCGATGTGTTGGCGGGAATGATTGAAATTTCTTATCATCGGAATTTTCCAGAATATTTTTTGCAAACTTTATATTGATAAAAATGAACGAAACCATGCAAGCTGATAGCAATAGCTCAAGGCGTTACTTTACCTTGAGATTTTTTTTTCGCGTTTTATTATTCATTCAAAAAGCTACAACCTTACGGAATATTTTAAACCCTAGGGATTCTTCTTCTCAGTAAAATCGAATAAATTAACAGTTACACTAAACAAATTTATTATATTTGTCATATTTTTGGCTGGACTTGGGCCCTTTTGACATTGCAAAATTCATGCCATGAAGCAATTGGTAGTTACGATTTTCAAACCCTACGGCGAAGACATGTTCTTCATTTTTGTATGAGAACACAGGGCATTCTATTGGATTATTCTCCATCTGAATTTCGACCGATAGAAATGCAGTATTCAACGTTTTTGCGGGTTAAAGCCATATTCATACCACATTTATTAGAAGATAAAGTTATTTTCCTTGCCATATATACCCTATTCGAGTTTTTACATATTTGCTGTTTCATGGGTCGACTTCCTCTTCAATCGTATCCATTGTAGTACCCCACACTGAGAGAAAAACGACAAAGTTCTCAAACAAGTCTTACTTGTGCCAAGAAAACAGTTTTTTGAAAATTATCAAAAAAGTATTTTTTTGTGCCAAACATGCAGAAAGTGCGCCGGAATGAAAAATTTTTGTCGCAAAAATTGATTTAGTAGATAAAAAAAATTGCTTTCTCTGTAGTGTAACGAACTTTTTAAATTTTAACGTCTAGAATTTATTTTCCCCTGTGTTAATTTTGTGGTGCTCGTTGCTCAGTAGCCAGGGTCCTAAATAAAAATTAGAGCACAGGTTCGACGTGTTCGTTAATTATTAATTTTCCGGGTTTCAGAGATTTATTCTTAAATTTCCAGTTTTTCTGTCCCCAAATTCCCTCGTTGATCGGAGATTCCTTCTGGTCCACACGGTGTTCGGGTTTCACGGATAATCAGCCAGGGCTCGACTAGCTTGTCGTCAGTGATAATTTCTTGTCACGTCGCCGGAAAAATTCAGGTTGCGGGTACAGTTTACGACGATGACCCCAAAATTATCTCTAATTAGCTAATAAACCCCAGGATTACTAATTGAAATTCTTAAGGAAATTATTCTTGTTATCCATTGAATTTCCGATTCGGCACGCAAAGACACAAAAGCTACCTTTCGCCATCTGGTGCGCGCCGTGGCAACCAACCGATTTAAAATTTCTACTCGGCGCTATCGTTCTCCCTTTACTTTCCATCTCTCTCTGACACACTGTGTCCCATTCAATTTTCCCCAGTCTCTAAAAATTTAAATTCTTCTCATTAAATTTTATTTCATGGTTCCTGTTGAAGTTTTAATAATTCCCTACGGATCTTAATCAAAAAATAAATTTTTATTTATGAATTTGTGGTCGTTTTTGCCACAAAATCAAACCTTTAGTATTTCCGTTTCGGCCGGTGGTTTCTTGTTGCGAGAAACTTTCTTCGCGTTTCTTTAATTTCTCATTTTTCACCTTATCACTCAAAAATTTTCCACATCGTCTCATTCTCTTTATCAATAGTTTGTTCAAAATTCCCCCCAGTAATTTAAACAATATTAATAATAGTTAAATTATTATTACCGGAAATAGAAATAAAAATTTAGCTTCCCATAAGAACTCAATTTTACGTTTATTTCGTAAAAAAAAACACATTTTTAAAATAATTTTAACATAAAAATTTTCGCTTTTGGTCCTCATTTGTGAGGTTCTTCACAGTAGACACAAGAAATGTCATTTCTAGCACTACTCCTTCGTTACTCGATACTCTCATACGTATTTTGCTCTCGAAAAATCTTAGTTATCCGCCTCTTGAGCCAAATATTTCGTTGCTGTCGAATGCAGAACAATTATTCATGTTTGAGACTTTCAAATTCGAACCAAACAAAGTCTTTTTTGGCAATTTTCAACTAGCGATTTTGTTGGCCCAAACAAGACTTGTTTGACGTGTTTGTTTTTCTCTCAGTGCACATACAGACTCTCCCACTGACCAAACGAAACCATGGGAAAAGCTTGGTCGAGAATGTTTTCCTAACACTTCTCCGATGATTCTCGGTGTCTAGAGTTCCGTTCGACGGTTTCCAAAAGATTAAAAATCCCAACTGCCCCAAGCCGGACTCGAACCCGCGCCTCGCAGGTCTCGCCGTCCGGGCGAGCGATTTAACCACTTCAGCCACCGTCGCCGGTTGCAGAGAAAAAATCGAAACATTTCAAAAAATTGAAGGTGTTAACATTTGAACATCAAAAATAAAGAAACAATGTGTTCTGTAAATTTACAGCTCATCCAAGAAAGATATTTTATTCGAAAATTATTCCAAACTTAGACGGCGGCAGAAGTGCACCCACTCCATTAGTCATAGGCATTGAACAAAGATGGCCAGATGATGCACACTATCCTTGTGCGATCCATTGAAAAGTGTGTGGGATACTTGGCGCCCTTTGTGCATTGACCGAAAAACTAGACCTTGCATTCGGGGTCTAGATGAATTCATCCCAGACAACTCATCCCAAACAATTTCATCCCAAAACATATTCATCCCATGAAAAATTCATCCCAAAAATTCAAATTTCAATGAAATTTTCAACGTCAACAAGAGAAAATAAGGGGAAAGTGAATGGATTCTTTGTTCTCAAAAAAACAAACACACTAAACCGATAATCACCATTTCTACACAATCTCCTTCACAACACCGATCAACGGATCTACGATAAACATTCCAAGAGACACTATTGAATAAGTCTTCATCCATCACAACAAATATTCGTCAAATACGCGACAATAATAGCCCACGTCGAATGCGTCACAATACCATACCATGTCATTGACGAAATTAATGAGCGGTTTATACGAAACATTTCAAATAACCCACTGGAAATAAATTATTCATTTTAACTATCATCCATTATAATCATAACAAAGGTCAAATTAAAAGTCAACATTTTGAGCGACATTCTCCAAATACTTCACATATTGCATTTGAGTTTATGAAAATGTGTATATAGTATATGTTGACCCAAAATTACTTCAAATTCCTGTAGCGGACAATCCTCCGAACATCCAGGAATTACAAGCGGCGCAGGTGGTTCCGTCACAGATGTGCCATTGTTGTACTTGGCCTGAATAAAAAAACAAAATTATCAAATCATTGAGCAAACATTGGGTCTGAGTCATCTAATTTTCGTCAAATGTCTACCAACCCTGACAACCAATTTATTTTCAATATTGTGCAACTCTAATACAATATAACTGCCATAATTAGGAATGTGGTTGTTGTCATAAACTTTCAGAATATTGAGAAGTCCGACAATATGGATATCGTCTCCCACGAAAATAAATAGTTTCCTTAGGTCCAAACCATCCAAGTAATTGTTAACATTGCGTAAGAAAATTCCGATGTGGGCACCTCCATTCAGGCGAAGCTTCGCAGACCCGGCGGACTGCTGCGCATACTCATCAATAGTGAGATTCTTCAATATTCCATCAGGATATATTCGTTCCATCCAGGGCTCTAAAGTAATGCCAACACTCTCCTGAAAGGATCCTATTATGATTAATGTCATTTTGGGTAGGGTACATTTAGTCCAAATATCATGCGTCTAATGATTTTCCGTCCAACGCCCTGGTGAATCAAACCCAGAGTTAATCCGTGTTAACTGTTATAATCCGAAAAAAGTTAATAGAAAAACCTATCGAATTCGTTAGAACATTCTATTGAACTGCTCTATTACTTTTTGGCCGATTCTATTGAAATGTTCAATAGAAAATATTCAGTAGAAAAAGTCAATAGAATTCAATTTTTCTATATAACTTATTCTATTGAGATATTTTCTATAGAATTTCCTCGGCTCAAATTTTCCAAGTTTTTTCGTTTGATTTTCTTGATGAGAAGAAAAAAAATAGAATTAAAAAAACTTGGAAAATTTGAGTCGAGCAAATTCTATAGAAAATATAGGTAAAGAACAAACTATATAGAAAAATCGAATTCTGTTGACTTTTTCTATTGAATATGTCAATAGAATCAGCCAAAAACTAATAAAAAGTTTAATAGAAATTCAATAGAATTTTCTAACGAATTCGATAGGTTTTTCTATTAAATTTTTTCGTGCGTGAACTCTGAGTTAACTCGGAGTTCATGGAAATTTCCCAGAGTTTCTCTCTTTCTTCGCTGGGTTTTTTTCCATAAACCCAGAGTCGACCCAGAGTTAACTCTGGGTTTAATCTATCAGGGCTGTTTTATCAATAAATTAATGCTCATTGTAAACTCATTGCAATGCTCATTGTAAATTTTCGCACCATTGCACGAAACTGGCGATACAGGATCCCACTTCGATAGAACTTGTCGAATTTGCTCCCCGTCTGATTGAACATGTACTCGTAAGCGGCTTCCAGGTTTTTATTTACGTCTTCAGGCGGGATTTGACCAAATCCAACTGGATCTAGACATTTGAACCAGCCACTGTACAGTGGATCCATTTTCAAGTAATTTATATCGAACCATAAGTTGTTTCTATTTTTCAATTCGACACAGTTATCGTCGAGAGAATTCTTTAGAAATATTCCGCGCGCCATGAGACAGGTTGTTTCTAATGGCGCGTCTACACGCTCTGGACGGAAATAAATTCTGCTATGGTAATATAAATCTTCATAGGTCTGACGGAAGTAGACTCCTAATTTCCATGCATCCATTTTCCCATTCTAAAAAAAAAACAAGCGGTAAATTGAAATTGCCACTTCATGATTCAATGAATCTAGAAGTTTTCTTTTAGTTATCGTGGGACAACTGATTTTTCAACAAATTCGAAAATTTCTTGAATTCCTATTCTACCGAAACTCAATCGTGCCTTCGTCTACCATATAGGGGAGAGTGAGGTAAAATGGACACTTGACATTTTTTTAAAATGTTAATGACAGGTTGAATTGTTGGTGAAATGTGTTTTTTTTATTTTTCAATAAAAAGAACAATTCTTTCCCTTTGTGTTGAGCCTAAACTGATTTCAATTGATAAATCTATCTCTGAGTTATAAATATTTCTTTAAATATCAAAAGTGTCTATTTTACCCCACCCTCCCCTACATATATGTAATTGAACATTTAATTAAGTACTTATATCTGAATGTATCAAATTTGACCCGGTAACTGGCACTACGCTGTTGGGTCTATATCCAATAAATAAGTAAATAATAAAATACATAAATGTTGAGTAGAAATTGAATTGTAATTAATGTCGATGCATAGGGTTTAACAATGCCTTTAAATTTTGAAAACGAAAAATAATTAAATTCCATCAATTCAATAGCGAACAATTGAAGAAAAGCTTGGTCACGCACGTACTTACAGACAGTTGAGTTGATATAGCGGCAAAAAAACGAAATTTTAATTACAATATGATGACAAAGTTTTTAGAAAATTTTCACCTTTTTGCTTCTATTCGGAAGTGAAAAGGTAAAAATCGTGCAGCCGAGAATCGAACCCGGGTCTTCCGCATGCCAATCCCACACTCTTACCACACAGCCACCGCCGTTTTTTTTTGATAGGATGTTTATTTATTGACCACAAGACAAAGTACATTTTTGTCGCAGATGCAACCTTTCTTCCACATAATCAAACAAAACGGAAATATAATAATGATTCCGAAAATTAAAGTTAGTTCCTATACAAATGCATTTGTACTATTCGTAGGAAGACATTGAAATTTTGTGACTAGCACTTAATAATTAAATAATGTGGCGAATATATTTTTAAGGACTCTGTGGTCAGGTATCTTTCTTATGCGTCAGAAATTGGTCAGTTAAAACTGGCGATTAACAGCCAATGCCATCGGTATATTTTAATATATTTTAGCTTATATTTTAATATATTTAATAGTATAAGCTTATATTTTAATATACTTAATAATTTGTACATACGCTCGTCAACTGGCTGGGGCCCTCCAGTATGTAAGAACTATTGATGATGTCAGGCATGTGAGGAAATAACGAATTGATGACGCCTGGATGTGGATTGCACTCTGTGTGATGCGCTAGAACTTGAACTAGTAAAAGTTTTGCATTGTTGAACTTTGAATGTAAGATGAAACAGAATATTATCCATCCATAATGGAACTTCATCGTACAAAACTTGTTAGCTACAGCGAGAGATAAAGAATACTTGGTGGTTGAAACTTGTGAGCGCAGTTTAAATAGTCTAGTCAGGCGATTCCCGGGCGATTGAAGCGCCACAACTAACAGACACGACGACAAGTAATATGAGAGAATCAGAGATTATAGGGGAAATGAGCAGGGCCAATGTAAAGTGTTCAACAGCAAAATACGTAGCGGTGGCGCATGGACTACGATGAGCGTACGGAACTGTTGGTATGGTAGACCCCGAGCATAAATTTGTCGATAACCGGAAAGGGGTTCTCAATACGGTAGCTCCTCGCATTTTGTAATAATTGTAAGGAATGTAAAATCGAACATATCGTCGCATTAAAATCAAAGGGGCGTAAGTGCCAAAAAACCCATTTTAAAAGTGAAAGGGGCGTATGTTCCGAATTCCTGTTTTTTCGGTTTTTCATGGAATTTCTGACCAAAAATCGGAAAAAAAAAGATCTATAGGAAAAAGGCGTAATTGCTATATTTCAACGGGAAAGGGGCGTATCTCCACACTTACGCCTCTTTCATTTCATTCAAAAAATGACACTTACGCCCTTTTTACATTATGTGTTGTACACTTCGGATGACACATTTCATGTTGAAATAAAACGAAAAGGGCGTAAGTCCCACATACGCCTCTCTCTCATTATATCTTAGGTCTACTCGCGATAATGAGTTTTATATTGTTATATCAACATAAAACGCTTTAACTATTTTCTTCTTCCTTTATGGTCTCATTTTCTTCCGAAGTGTTCAAAGCAGTCACGACTCGAAATTTCATACACATAATTTCCTAAAATTCGCAGTCATAATTTAAAAAAATGAAATAAATTAATGAATGAAATCGAATAAATTTAGAAGAAAA